AAATAGTGGGATTGACCGTCACATTATAACGCCCCCACAGCTGAAAGAGCGAGCATGTTTGGTGGGACGGGGATTCGAACCCTCGACCCGCAGACTGCGAGTCGAGCACCCTAACCACCTGGCGATGCCGGACCTGTTTCTCTTTGAATCACAGTGGAACAGATAATTGGTGAAAATAGTCTCTACATCACACCAACCAACGTTAGCGTAGTTGTTGTCATTAGGAACTCGAAGCATTATTATTATGTCTCCGAAGAGAGACACTGTTTTTAATTATGTCTCCGTAGAGAGACACTGTTTTTAATTATGTCTCCGTAGAGAGACACTGTTTTGAATTATGTCTCCGTAGAGAGACACTTTTTTTTTATTATGTCTCCGTAGAGAGACACTGTTTTGAATTATGTCTCCGTAGAGAGACACTGTTTTTAATTATGTTCCGTTGAGAGACACTGTTTTTCTATTGTTTCTTCTTCCAAACACTTTTTAAACGAACTTCATTCCTTCATTTCAAAACGGATTGACTTGAAACTTGTTAGGGTTATACCTATGTGCAATACGCCCAGACACATTTTATTTATTTTTTTTGTTTAACCCTTTTCAAGGATCTTTATGGGGTCAAAGGTCAAACAATCCAAAACGTATATTGTGGGGTCCTGTGCGGTCATATTTACAGCAACCAAGATGAAAATTGGTACAAATATATATTCTCAAGTACTCAATGCACAAAAAAGTTGGATTTTTCCCATTTTGAAACTTTTGGGGGGGTCGAAGCTTACAAAAAAACATAATTTTGGTGTTTTGGGTCAGTTATACGGCCATATTTTGACCAGTTTACATGGGATTTGGTAAAAAGATACCTTCTTGTAGGTCCCAAGCAGTGACATAGATAGATTTCGATGTCAACATCGGCCATGATGGGATTGCGTGGAGGAGACATGTTGCATTCGCCGCGAATGTTGGCGTCTTTTTAATTATTATTGAAGACGGCAGTATGACATAATAATTTTTTTTTTTTTTTTTACTTTAAAGGGAAAATAAATCTCTGAATTCATACATGATATACAAGTTGACCACAACAAAACTGTATTTTCAAAACATTGTTATCACAATATCTCAGTGACCAGGTTCCACCTTTTTTTAACCCAAACATCTGTAAATAATACACAAGGGATAAGACTCATTTCGTTTTATCTTATCATTCATCTGACTCAAGTAATGTCTACTGATAAAAATTTTGAAACCAATTATGAACATTACTCACAAAATGGCAGTATCGTATTTGAGTCAAAATGGTTTCAAATTATAGGAATAATTACACGGTAAACTTAGAGCCGGAAATAATCCTTAAAAACCGAATATAATCCCAGCTATGGAAAAGTGTGTTTAGTTCAGAATTTTCGCGCAGAATTTGAACTGGTAGATCGACGGATAGTCAATGGTAATCACTGACAACTCTTGTCTGATTGAATATTGTGATTTAACAGTCAGTAGTATATAGTTCATCCGTGGCCCAAAATGCGGAGCGCGTTTTAACAGCAATGGTCGGCGAACCATGAACCTTCGGATTCACTTGAACACGCTAACTACTAGATCACGCTCGACCTTTCCAAAAAGCTTACCGATATTTGAACTAATGATGTTGGCTCAATAAATTTATTTTGCGAGCATCAAAAGAAGATATTTTGATTTATGTGCGCGGGTTGGCCTTGTGGTAGAGTTTTGGATTATGAAGCTGACGACATGGATTCGAATTCTTGCGATACTAAAAAATATTCTCTGCATTTCGATCTGTGTGTGCGTTATAATAATAACAGTCAATCCCTTAGCGTGGATAGCGGATGACAAAGTGTTGCCGGCTGACTTCTTTCCTTCTGACCAGTTGTTCAAAATTAGGGAGATCAGCAGATAATCTTGGTAGCTTTGACATAATTACAAGTACAAAATGCAGACTAAACTGACCCCTCTACTAAAGATCTCTATCGAAATGATAGTAAATAAATAAATAAAAACTTTATAGATATCACTTTATAGATATCCATAAAATAACAGACCTCGCCATCAATCATATATATATTTCACCATTAAATCCAGCAATAATAAAGCTGGAAATAATCCATTCTCATAACAATGGCTGAATAAATAAACAGTATTTTGACAGACTTAGGAGCAACAAATCTTCACAAACGTAAAAGCTGATATTAAACTCAGAATACTCTTTAAAAAAAAAACAATCCAGAACTACCAGAGTTTTGTATGAAGATAGCTGTCACACTCATCTGGCGACCAATGACAGAGTTGTCACAACACTTCTATGGTTGAACACTTCAAAGAAATCTCGTTTTTTTTTCGAAGTTCCTTTTATCTCTCTCCGCAAAAATAACAGTCTTTATGATAACCAACTATACACTCCAGTCTGCTCATTACCAATATATATATATATTTCACAAAAACCAAACACTTAAGCCGTGACATATATTTTTAAACTGTGCTACCTCTAAAGTTAGTAAAAAACAACCTTTTCTCTCCAGATAATAATAACAGCCAACGTTTCGCCATTGCTATTTCATTGTAGTTAGTAGAACAAGAACTTCTAATCTTATACATTTTCAAACTACACCCACCACTTGTGTTATATACATCTATAAGTTACTTCATGTCTTGCATATCTTCAAACTCTACTGATCCAAGTCCCCTGGTAAGGCAGCGACAAGCTTACTGACTTACAACACAAAATCTGGAGTTCGACACCCCGCGGTTGGCAGAACAAAGATAGTCCCTTGTGTAATTTTGCGCTAAAAAAGCAAACAGCGACAATAAAACTGGTTTAAATCTTACACATCTGTAATCTGCGTCACCTCAATCTCGTACATCTTTACAGTACGTCAAGTCTTACCCAACTTGAAACTGCGCTACTTAAAACATTATATAACCCTTACAATGTCAAAAATGCAAAAATAGAAGTAGTTGTAAGCAATATTACTAGACAAGGGCATTTTTAAAGCATTCGTAAATGATTAAGTGTGAACCTGAAAGCCTACTTGATTGATACTCTAGACACCATCATTTTTAAAAATATGATCTTAAAGCTAACCTTATCGACGTACGCAAAACTTTTACGATATTAACTTCATGCTATATGCCTATTTAGTATTTGCACCCTGAACGGCATCTCAGGTGATACATAGGTCAAACCTGGGGTTCGGGCATAATAATTCCTAATTCATAAATACTGGCCAGAGAAGAGAGGCAGCCAATCAATAGCAATCACCGCCCATCAGTTAATCAGAACCGTATAGTATGATTGACTGTAACATTTGCATATCGCGGCTCGAACCTTGAACCTTAAGAAACACATTCCGGCACACTAACTTCTAAGCCACAGAATACCCATAATTGAATACGATAGACAGTGGTTGAGTTTATTAATGCAATGTAAAGATTATATTTCCTTCATGAAGCTCAGATACTGGAAGAGAATATTATACATCATGACCACGGTTTATATATTAAAGCTCATCTACGAAACTCGGATATTACAGAACACCACTTTATACTGGTCATATTATTTACGTTAAACTTCATCTGTAAAGTCTTAATGATGAAAGAAAGAGGTATATATCATAACTAAATCGTAAAGTTTACAAATCAACATAAAATTCTTACTTCTAAAAGATCGTGTACAGCATCATATTCATAGTATAAAAGTTGAATACATTATACTAACACATTTTTGAATCCCCTCGCGTCATTGCGGTCCATATCGCCACGTTCAGTCATACTTTATCTAACAACCGTGCATCTTGAAAATAGTCCTGCAGCTTAGTTTCCATTGCAAAAGTATCCATTATAAGAGTTGTCATGTACAAAGCACACATCTCCTAAGTACACGCTTTCCATAATCCATCTAATGTACGAGGACGATGGTTTCCCGACGCTCGTTTCAATAGACCGATCGCACAGAAATTCAATATGCCTCCGTATGGGATAACATGAATATCAGTTTCACTTTCCAACTGTTTGACGTATGCGACGGTTGAAGGGATATATCATGGAAACAACTTGTGTACATGTGACGTGTTTCGCTTTTCCAAACATGAAATCCTTGTTGATTATGACTACTGTTGCTTGAGGGACATGGGAGGGTTTATGCCACTGACTACTGTGTTCGTGGATTCTCATTTGTTACCCAATGCCACATTTGTGTACTACTTTGGAATATGAAGGGGGTCTTTCTGCCACAAATTGATCAATATTTCCTTGTTTTCCAATGCCATTAAGTACAATGGCTACTATGGCTATCCCCGTCTAGGAAATTCTAAATCTCCGATCTGAACATATATATTTATGATTTGAGTTTATGAATATTTTGCGACTGAAAGGATTGTCGCATACTCAATTTTCGGTGGCATCATACTACCTACGAAACGCCAAATAATGTTAAAATGTAGTTCTGAACACATTCCTTTCCATCGCAAATTTATATCAGCTGTGGTTGTCACGTGACTTCCTGATCTATTTATTCCAAAATCGACTTAATACCAACGTATTCAACCTTGTGTACTGCTGAAAGTCACCAGTAAAGTCCCGATTATACAACAATCTCAATGTTTACGTTAAATGCATTAGTACAATTCAAATACTGTTGGATAGCCGATAAATATAATTAACACTATATACATTATTTGTCATCAATAAAGACACTCGCCTTCTTTCCACGATACTACTTGGAAATCATTGGTGTACAGTTAATATGTACAGCCTGATAAGATGTATAATTAATTACCAACCAAACAGCATGAAGATAAAATTAATACACACAATCTAGGTAAATATATAAAAGCTGATAACGTATAATTATCAACTTATCAAACACAGTGAAGGTAAACTAAACATATAAAATCTGATAACACTTATAATTATCAACTTATCAAGTAGAGCGGAGGTAAGATAAATAAATAAATATATATATATACAGTCTGAAATGTGTATAACTATCCTACCAGACAGTGTGAAGGAGTAGAAGAAAGATGGCTGGCAAGACGAAGTCATCAGATCCAACGGACCATCGTCTGTTAAACAACACAATTCCTGGCATGAAGACTTGTTCTCTTACGTCGACCCACTTGACCTTAAGTCCTCCAGAAGATAATTTAAACTCCTCTATGTAGGTTTCTTTTGCATTCTCGTAGTAGCTTAAGAATGAATGTTATATCCAACATCTTCACTTGCCCCATCTTCGCTGTCCTTGTGTCTAAGGAATGAAAATTATTAAAGAGTTTTATAGACACATTTTAAGTAAAAATTGCATTCAAACATTTGCGCTAAATACCATATATATTTATATATTTCCTGAGACTACGTGTTGGAGATGCAAAGCTGTTCCAGGTTATAGAAACACCTCCGTACAGAGAATATATTTTAGTAAATTAAGAACACAGTCTCGGTATGTTAAAATTATCTTACGAAACCCAAATATTAGTTAAGGATATTGAATTACTGCCAAATAACATTGTACAAATCTGTATTTCACAAAATATCCAGTAGAAATAAAGATAAAAGATGAAGGTTTCGAGATATGTAAGTAAGAGGAAATTGTTATCAATGATTGATTTTGTTTTTCTAAATTACATGAAAAATAAACTTTTTATAAACCATCTAAACAAAAGACATACATTATGCCCCCCAGTAGCACAACAGCATGTGTGCAGACTTGCAAACGTTCGTGACTCGGCATGGCCAGGTGGTTAAAGAGCTCGACTCGCAATCTGAGGGTCGCGGGTTCGAATCCCCGTCACACCAAACATGCTCGCCCTTTCAGCCGTGGGGCCGTTATAATGTGACAGTCAATCCCACTATTTGTTGGTAAAAGAGTAGCCCAAGAGTTGGCGGTGAGTGGTGATGACTAGCTGCCTACCCTCTAGTCTTACACTGCTAAATTTGGGACGGCTAGCGCAGATAGCCCTCGTGTAGCTTTGCGCGAAATTCAAAAACAAACAAGCAACGCTCGAAACCGGATTTCTATACCTATGGTGGGCAGAGCACAGTTAGCCCATTATGTAGCTTTATGCTTAACTACAAACAAATACATATATATAATAATAATATTTTTTTCTCTTTCCAAACGTTAGTCCCCCTTCCGGGAGACTAACGGCTTGAGTTGGGATTGGCTGGTCACCAGATTCAACTCAACCGGGACTTCCGCTTTACATGACATCACACGTCATACTATATATTGCATTGCGCAGGCTAAAGGTCACCCTTTATTCTCCTGAAGAAGAATAGTCAACTATTCGAAAGCGCTCGAGTTTTGGGTCTTATTTTAAGTTTATTACACTTTATATGTGATCCTTTGTGCTAACTATTTATCAAGAATATTTAAACTAGCTATATGCACTGTTTGTAAATATTATCCAAAAATGCTGTTTATCAAGGGTACCCGTACATTCATATTAAACGAAATTCTAAAGGTCAGAGAAATTCAGTTTAATTTTAAATCACATATTTTGTTCTTTTTTAACGTCTCAATAATAAAATAGACAAATCGAAAAAAAAATCACATTTTTCAACTGTCAACGAAAAAACTGACATAAATAAAGAACAGAAATACTGGAGTATATAAACCTGATGATTATCAACCAATTTCTTATGTAAATCGAAAGATGCAGACCTAAAACTTTTTAAACATTATGAAAATGACAAAAAACGGGTATTGAGAAAATAAAACTCATGTACTTTTCATAGGGTAAACGAACAATTGTGTTAGTAAATATATATATATATATGAACGTTCGTAATTTTTGCATCTTTTCATAACTCTTCTCTTGTTTATGGCCAGGTGGTTAAAGCGCTCGACTCGCAATCTTAAGGTCGCGGGTTCGAATCCCCGTCACACCAAACATGCACGCCCTTTCAGCCGTGGGGGCGTTATAACGTGACGGTCAATCCCACTATTCGTTGGTAAAAGAGTAGCCCAAGAGTTGGCGGTGAGTGGTGATGACTAGCTGCCTTCTCTCTAGTCTTACACTGCTAAATTAGGACTGGCTAGCGCAGATAGCCCTCGTGTAGCTTTGCGCGAAATTCAAAAACAAACAAACATACTTGTTTATAATTGTATTTTAAAATGTATACTGTTGTAAGTATAAACAGACAGATCAAAGCACATACTTTATCTACCGTTTTAATATATATATGTGTGTGTGTGTGTGTATTTATCAATTTGTTTGTTTTGTTGTTATGAACAATGTGACATAATGGGTCATCTGTGCTGTGGCAACCACAGGTACTGAAACCCGGTTTTAGCGTTATAAACATTCGATGTATTACAACTAGAAACAGACAGGTCAAAACAGTTACTTTATCTACCTTTATCTACTAACTGAAAACAGACAAATGGAATATAATTCAATTTGCAACACTTATGTTTATTTCAGTGAACATAAAAATAAATAAAACAACTCCCAACAAATACGAAGACAGATCGATAAATAAAGCATGTTATTTGCTTAAAAGGACCTACACCTGCTGGGAAAAGGCCTAATCATACGAGTTATATATATGCATTGTACAACAGCATATTTTTTTCCTCAACAAATGAAAATATGGAGTGATTATAAAGAAAATTCCTTATTTAGAATTGTTATGTATTGAAAACTACTTGTTGTAGAGACACTGAGAATCATAACTTTTATTCGGAAAGAACTGGGCATGGTGCGGTCACAACATACAAAGCTTAACTCTGAATGATGTCACAACATACAAAGCTTAACTCTGAACGATATCACAACATACCAAGTTTAACTCTGAACGATATCACAACATACCAAGTTTAACTCTGTACGATGCAGCTTGAAGCATTATCTATTCTGATCAGTATTGATTGATCTTCGTTATCTCATTTTCACATACTCTGTATTTCAGGGTTAATCTGATACACATTTCCTCTGTATTTCAGGGTTAATCTGATACACATTTCCTCTGTATTTCAGGGTTAATCTGATACACATTTCCTCTGAAAAAAACCCCTAGCCAAAAATGTGCTTGTTCAATGTTCAGGGTTCTCTCCGGTCAGGAAGTGGGCTTCCATTTTGTCTTCATAACTGCGTTTTAACTAAAATGAAACTGCCTTTATATTAGTGCTTTAGAATAGCAAAGAACTATCCTATACACTAATGATATGACATGAATTTTATTCATATCACCAATCTGGTATTGTAAGGTGAAGAAAGAAGATAAATAAAAGCAGTGCGAGCAGAGTGGTTTAGGTAACATGGTTTTGAAACATTCTGTACAATGTCCCGACTTTCCTGAACAAAACATGCGATTTTCATGGTGCTTTTGGTGACATTACGTATCCTTCGTTTATAAAATATAATCATTTTAAATAAGGGGTTTTATTTATGATAAACAAAAGGAAAATAATTATCAAAAACAAATACACATACAAGCACTTGCACAAATAAAAACTTCCAAACTGAAGAGGCGTTTCATAATAAAATCTCCATTTATCGATTAGAGGAATTAATTTATACTAATTAAAAACACAGAAGCAATTGCACATAATGAAACTTCCGGTACTCGCACATATGAACACTCCAGTAGGGGGGTCCTCTACACAATAAAAATCTTGTTCATCGATACCGTAACACATTTCTCATATATACCTACATGTAAATTACCTTCATACGTTTTGGACAACTGGATTAATTTTTATCATTTCTTTGCTTTTGCTAAGGAAGAAGAAATAACTTTGACATAGAGGCCATTTTTTTATATACACAGAAAATAACCCTCCTTTATTCATAACTAAATAATCAGTGATAAATGCTCTTTTAGAAAGTAGGCTCATGTCCTGAAGGAAAACAACGTGGGTTATATTTATCTCTAGAAGTTCTCATTCTTGATATAGATTGACCGTTGGGTAACGGTATCGTCTTTCCGCAGTTTCAGGATATATATACAACTTGATGCTCCTTTGGCAAAAGTAAGCACATTGAGGTAATTCAGAAAATCTCTCTTCTCTATTTAACACTCTTAACGAGATGTGGTTTAAATATAAACCATGAATAAACTAACAATAAACCATGACTAAATCTTTTCTGCGAGCTCACAAGTCATTATCAATGTGTTTTTGTTGTTGTTGTTTTTTTGGGGGGATGAGTAGCAAACTAATTAAGTGGAAATCAGAAGAGTTTCTCTGAAGACTTTCTGGGGTTCATTATTCTCAAACGAATGTTTAAATTTTCGTATAGTAAAGAAATTCAAGTTCTGAATATTTTGTACTGAATTAAATGGACAACTTACTTTAGTAAAGCGTGAAGAATTAATTAACACCTTAAAAACAAACAAATCGGAATACAACATTAATATATATTCAGTCCTAAGAGAATGTTCCTCGTTTCTAGCAATAAAAAAACTGTCAAAATAGGTTTGGAATTTGTATATTTTGTTGACAAACACACGGTTGTTAATAAATTACCTCTCACCAAAGTTATATAAAAAACATTGATTGTTATAAATAACTATATTCTAACTGATGGTGTATAAGAAATTAATCGTTGTTCGAGCTTTCACTTAATTTCACTTCAGCATATTGCAGTTATCAAAGAAAGAACAAAATTTACTATGTGTTCGCATTTAATTTCTCAACTAAACATGTGAGTTTCAACACTTTTATGATACAACAATGTATTTTGTTTGAAATTTTTATAAAATCATTCGAAATAAGTTTTACTGTATGTCTAGTAGATATAAAGATAGATATGTACTCGGTATTAAATGTCCTTCTTTCTCTCATTTTACTGAAGTTAAGCAAAATGTCATTATACTTGTAGGGGAAGTACGTCATCCGGTTTCTATGACAACATGGGAGTCGTCGAGTTTTCCATATTATGCTTACACAAAGCTGTTTTATAAACTGAATAGCCAGTGAAATGTAATGTTCGCCTTATAAGTGATATAGATGGAATTAACTTAACGGAGCTGATGGAAATGTCATAAATGACATTTATGAACTTTAAAGGTTTAGGTACAGTTATGCTTAAGATAAGCAAAATACATGAAAAATGTTTCATAAATACAAGTGAATTGAGTTGTAGTTTAAGAATTTATGTTTGAACAAGCGGTGTAAAGAATATTGCAATTAACAGCGAAGCAAATTATATTGCAAAATACAATGAAAAAATTATATTGCAATTAACACCGAAAAAATTATATTGCAATTAACAACGAAGAAAATTATATTGCAATTAATAA